GCTCTCCCGACCGCCGCCTCGCCCTATTGGCGGACAGGCACGCCAATCACTGGCCGGCCGGGCTTCGAGGGAGCGCTCGCTGGGCTCCACGCCTCGTCCTCTCCCCTGGCCCCCCCCCCCCCGTTTCCCATGGATGGGATCGCCCGAAGGGCGCCTCATGGAGCGCTGGAAGGGACCACTTGGCGCGCGGGGGGGAGGCTGAGCGGAGCGCGGTTTCCCCTGGCCGCAGCACAATGGGCGGCGGTGGGTGCCCGCGGCGCCGCGCCGGGAGGCAGCGGCATGTCGGGACATGTAGTCGCGACAGCGCCGCGTCCCGGAGCTGGGGGCTCACGCAGCATCCTATGGAAACGCCCGGATCAGACGGGTCCCGCCCCGGGTGGGAAGCCCGCAGCCGTGGGAAGTGCCGGGGGGTCCGTGCCGCGGGGCGCGGCGGCGGTGGACGCCGGGCAGCGGGAAGATGGCGGGGCGGGACAGGGGACGGGCGCGGACACCTGGCCAGGGACCGCTCCTCGCGTATTTGTATGTATGTATATTAAGGGTATATATGTGTGTGTGTTTATATTATTTCGTATATATATATACATATATATATGTAAGTGTATGCTCTATGAAGTGTGTATATATATATATGTGTGTGTTTGTGTGCATATACATATCTATATGTATGTGTGTGTGCAGATAGATAGACAGACAGATATACTTAATAAAAACGTCCGCAGGCGAAGCTGATTCATGGAAGTGCCGCCGGCAGGTGTGTGCGGGCTCCGGGCCGGTGCCGGGCGAGGAGAGGGTCCCGCGCCCCTCGGCACCGCAGCGAGAGGGCTCAGACACCCCGCGCCTTCCTATTTTAAACATAGCCTAAAATCTCTGCCTTACGTGGTGTTGGAGGATTTGGCAACGGTGCTATTTCACTGTTAATGTTATATGGAAAAGTTAAACACCTTCATGTTTGGTGTCCTGATGACATTTATAACTTCTGCTTAAGCAAAGGAAAGCAATTGTAGAGGTGTGTGTATGTATAGCCTTATAGCTTAATAAATATAGCCAAGTGAAGTCGTTCAAAATGTAATTTTATTGATGAAGGTCTACACGGCCTTGAGTGATGCTGTTGATCCAGTAAAAGCTTGTCGTGCAGGCAGATAAAGATCCAAGCTGAGAAGCATAACCCAGCTAAGTCACTCCTGCCCAATCGCCCGTTCCCTGCTGCTCATTCCCTGCCCCGGGAGCGTGCGGCGCTCGCAGTCCCACCAACACAGCCCCTGTCGGACAGGACATCGAACCGGCTCAGGGAACTCACTCAGCTGCAGTATAACTCCATAGAAAATCGGTGTGTTTTCTTCTCTGATCATTCCACTAATCTGGCTTTGTTACTAAAAGAAAGTTACAAAAAGCTTGGGCTTTTTGTGTTGGGGTAAGATACTACTGTTTTAGAAGGCTGCCAAAGAATACCAGTTCCACACCAGAATTAGTACAATAGCACATTACCACCCTCAGCCCACCATCTCACCATCCTCCTGGTGGAGGCAAGTTTTGAGATAGGAACCTGAACTGTAGCTGCTGATGCATGGACCCACATTTCCTTCTCCTGCATCTGCTACAGACACAGCCATCTCTGGCAGAAGGGTAGGCTGGAAAATTGACAGGCTTAGCATTTTCACAAGACTTGCTGCAGACTTCAGCATCTTATTAAGGGGTTGGGTTTTTTAGCTGTTGATGTTCGTCAGCTAATATAGAGAAAAGAGACATAAGGACACATGAAGGAGCTGGGAAAGGGCATCAGTTCAGTGCTGCAGTTTAATGAAGCCTTTAGTGAGCACTCCACACAAACACATCAGCTGTCAATGCTCAGTCTCCTCTCCATGTCCTTTGCACCAGCTTCCATAATAAGCTAATCAACTGGCCCCAAAGAGCCACAAGGTTATCTGCCTTTCTTGTTTTAATTCCTCTCTGCCTTTTCCAAACCTCCTTTTCTACAATACTAAAAAGCAGCATTAAAGGGAAAGACAGAAATTAGAGAGAGACCAGAGACCACAAGGATAGCTGGGGCTTGGATCATCAGATAGTTTTTCTGTGCCACCTTGCTGGATTTCCATCTGCTTAGGAAGGTTGCTGTTTGCTCAGCAGTTGTCCTGGCAAACCTGCTCCCAGTGCCAGATGGCAGGTAACTTCAGAAAAGTGATACTTGAGATTACACAACCAATTAATGAAGTCTTGAATGTTATATGGTTTTTCTGCATTTATTCACATAACCAAGTTACAGAAGAGGAAAAGGAATATCATGATGAATCTGTATCATTATTGCCTGACATGGAAAGGACCCAGTTGTTAGTCTGGCTTCATTCACAATCTGCAACTCAACTGTAACAAAGTGTTGTAAACCAGCAAGTGTAGCTGTGGCCTTTCATTTGGTTTAACTGATAAGAAGGTTATACAGTCTCAGAAGACAAAAAAAGCCTCCAAACTAGGCATGTGTCACTAGCCAGAACAAAGTTATATATGAAACAAAGAAATTAGGAACAGTGTGGAGAACTGTGCCAGGCATTGTCTGCCTGTGTATGTGTACATGTACCTGGGAGAGCTGCAAACCAAACAGCACCAGTTTTATCTCCCACAGCCCTGCAAATGGTGCATGAGGTTGTCTCATGTCTGTGCTATGAACAGACACCTCAAACCTCAGCAGCAAAAATAGCACTTTAACTCAGACTTTTGATCTGAGGCTCATACTATCTGGGTTAACCCCAGACACCTGACCAATGCAGCATGTGTGCATGAGTGCCTATTTGTGTAGCTGTAGGAGCAGGACGGAAAAACAGACACACAGCATGAATTACTCACCCTATAGATAGAACAGGAAGTTTCAACCCAAATCTGTAAAAGAAAATTCTAGTTTTGTCTTAACAATCCATACAAGTATGGTCCTTGAAGAAAGCAAGTAAATCACCTACAGCTTCTCTGCGATAATCTCATTTTGCCTTGCCGTGCACTGCTCCAGCTGCAGCAGGGAAGGAAGACAGGCACTTTTTTCTGTTGCAAGGTGGCTTCTCATGTTCCCACAAGGTAAACATGGTGTAAATTGGTAAATGTGCTTCCTGGCCTGCATACCATGGTGCTGCCCAGTCAATGGGTGGGACTACCACACATCCCAGTTTACCAACCTTCAGAGGTTTCCCTCAAGTTGAGATGGGGCACAGGATCACATCAAAGCTGTTTGGCTTCAGTGCCTCTGTGGCTTGAAGCTGTGTTCAGAACCCAGCACATATCTAGCCAAAAGTATGTTACAAAAAGAAATCAAAGAACTGGGGTGGGAGGGAAAGGTGCAAGAACCCTACAGCTCTGAGTAAGGGCATCACCTCCAGCAGTTTTAATAACTCCTTTGTCCAGAAAAACAAGACCTTGTGTATTCTTGTAATTGATTACAATGATTGTTCACTTTGTCACTGGTTTCTTCTCCCCTCTGCAATAATCTGCAGACTCATGAACTTTCACTATTTGGAGTAATGCAAAAGAACCATAATTCACCATAACACTTTATGTTGTTGTATAATTAATAATTTAATACTGAAATTATTATTAAATTATGATAAATATATCCTATACATGAAAGCTTAATTAATTTTATCTATACTGGGTGTCTGAAAAGTTTTTGTAATCAAAATTATTTAGGATAAAAAATAGATGTTAGCATTTATAGATTTCATAACAACACTCCTGAAATATACTTTAAGTGCAGTTGGTTGGAAGTTTCTAAAAATGTGGTGTTTCAATGGAAAATGCTGTTTCTGTAAAAGTTACATTTTCCACAGGAAATAATTTTGGCAATGTTTTTCTGCTTTCCGACAAAAACAATGCACTGTTATACTTACAGATGTAGAAATGTCTTTACCATTGAAGTCAGCACAACTTGGGTTAGGGATTCAGCACATGAAAGAACTGGAGCATGGAGTATAATGCCAGGAAGCTGTTGAACAGCTCAAGGGTACACATAAAAACTAAGTCCAAGTGAAACATTTGTCTTTGATCTGACAAACCGAAATACAATGTGTCTTTCCATGAATGTCAAAATGTTTCAAGCTGGTTGAAAATAGTTAAATGAAACATTCAGGAATATCAGAATCACATACTGTTTGTATACTCTTATCCTCAAACTTTTCAGTATTAGTCACTTTTGTTTCTGAAGAGGATAAAAATACTGTATCGAGTTTTCTGGCTGATCTTCAGCTACAATTTAACCACTTAGATTATAAGTAACAAACTAAAATACAGCAAACTCCACGGAGTCTCAAAATTCTAATTTTGGAAACAAAAGACATTGTGGACAATAGATCTGAGTAAGATACACAGTATCCTTTCTATACTACAAAATAATTGAATTTCTGATTTAAACCTGAAACTAATCTTATTTTAAATTAGTCATAAAGATTTGATCAGTGTCTGTATAATATGTTCCATTCATATTCATTAAGTGCCATGTGACTGCTGAATTTCTTGACATTTGCCTCTATTACTCTAAGTTCCGCAATGACAGACTCCTGTAATTACCACTGAAAATACTCCTACTACAATTTAATTTTACCTAGCTTACTTAGTTTTTATTTATTTATTTACCATCTTCTGGGATTCATTGTGTGATATTGCTAAAACCCTTTATATGTGACATTTCTTATGCAGGTAATAAGAATTTTAGACCAGAATTACTGAGTTCCATGATCAGGGCATATTTCAAAATCCTGACTAAGTGTAGCATACACCCCCTCCCAATACCAACACAGTTTCAGTAACATAGAAGAAACTTTGTTCTTGCTACAGCACTTACTGAAGCAGCATTGAGGTTTAAAGTGGTTTTTAGGTATTGCTAGCAGCTGAAACAAAAATAAGAGTGTGCATTATGATCATGAGCATAATAATGTACCATCCAACTTTAAAAAGAAAATAGCTGTGAAATACTGTCCAGACGTAAAATGTTTCTGCTTTTTTCTTTTTTTTTTTCTTTTTAAATTTCATTTAATTAAAGATTTTTGATCAAAGTACTTTGATTTTTGTGAGTGGAAAAAAAAAAGTTTCAGAGTACAATCAAGAATTTCCATAAGTCTTTAACAGTATTAAAATAAATAGCATATGGGTTTCAAATTAATTGCTGTGTCCCCTTTAGATAGCTGTTGTTCAACAGCCTCACTGTAAACCCTTCCCTGGGAGACCTGATGACTGTTATTTATACATGTCACTATTTATGCAGTAGGAGACCTGCTTTGTGCTATTAGACCAGGAAAATCAGGAACCATTTTCCATCTGCATCTTTTGACCTATTCAAATTGGACACAGAATTTCTGAGCCCTGCCTTGTGCCTGGGCAGTGCCCCTGAGCCGGGCGTGGGTTGCTGCAGCACTGCACTGGTGGGCTGCCCTGGGGAACCTCATTTGCCTCCCTGTGACAAAGCTTTCCTCGAGGGTATTCCCCAGGCACAGCCGCAGCACATCTGAAATGGAAATAGCAGCAGCAGAAGGTAAGCCTGGGCACAGGCCATGCTAGGTGTCTGTGCTCTCCAGCCTTTGCCTGCAAGTATCAAAAAGAGCATTGCTAAAAAAACTGGTGTGTTTAAAAGACACCAGGAAAGAATCTGGATGTTCTAATGGGAGGGACTCATTCAAAATGTGATTTTAAAATGGGTAATTGAATAAAAATCAAGTTTTCAGTATCCCTTGTAAAAAAATAATCATAGTATGGAATTTTGCATTGACTAATCCAAAAGGTTACTATAAACAGAATGAGCTTTGCTTAATTTATCTTATTCAGTTATTGAGAATCAGCCTTGAGAACAACAGAATTAACCAGTTCAGTTTCAGGGTTCTTATCCATTAGCATAGCAGTATTTATATCACCCTTAAAAAAAATCTTAGACTTGTTTGTCTCTAGTTTTACATTCATCAGTACACATTAAAGTATTCCCACTTCTCTAAAATGCATCTTTACTGAAAATAAAACAAAATTTGCTTGATAGAATCTAAGCCAAAATTGTGAAACACTGCTCTTTTACCTGGTATGAGCATTCTCTGGATGCACATACTATTCCATTTTATTTTGAAAACTCTATTAAAATAATAACAAGGACAGAGACTGCTAATGCATTAGATGGACTGGTGAAACTGAGCTCCTTGAGTCCCTCCTGTGAAATGTCTGCTGTTATGATCATTAGTAGTCATAATGACCAGTTCAGATTCTCAACTATTTTGTAGAATAAAAAAAAAAAAATTTTTTTAATAGTCTCTTGAGGGAAATAGTAAGCAAAACCAGATGGGAAGGGGAAAAAAAAATGAAACTAAAGACACCCCTCCCCCTCAAGCCCACATAAATTATACTATAGAGAGCCACCCTATATATGACCAGATCTGTTTATATGTTAACTTCAAAAAACTATGGGTACAGTTATGACTTTATTCTCTAACGTGAGTTTTCTCCCCACATTTCAGTGAAAGGTTTGCTGTTATATCTGTGTGCTATAGCAAAGTGACATAAACCTAGCATATACTGTGTTCAACAATATTTCATATTTCATTATCAGAGAGCACAACAATAGTTCCATTGTGTAGGGCAGCTCTCCTTGGAGGTGGAAGGAAGGCTGCACACAAGCTTCCAGAGTGGTCCAGAAATACGATGGTGACACCAGTCTGCCTCATGTAAACAGGAAATCAAACCAGGATGTAAACCGGACTGCTTCCATATTCAGTAATATTTAGCTAAAAATAAACAGTTTAAATAGAGGTAGGGAAGCCAATTCTCTCTGTAAACTCATTTTCCAACTTGAATTTTTTCAAGACCTAATAGAAAAATGCAAATAACACTCATCAATGAGTGTTAGTATTGCTCTATCAATATGTTTGTAAAGAGATTGCAGTAACTTCCAGAGGGCCTATTAGTGTGAAAAGGCCAATGGAAAGTCTCTTTCCAGAGAATAATAAAGACTTGGAGATGAAGACCGAAAAGGGATACAACTGATCCATAAGTATATCAATGAATTAAAAAAATCAAGGAGAAAAAAGTTCTACTTCAGCTAAAAGACAATGTAATCATAAGAATAAATAAATACAGACTGTGAAATCTAGAACTGATGAGCCATCTCGTTTTGAGAAGGAGTTCTCAATCAGCCCACACAGAGTGAGGAGAAGCTGGGTTTTTTTTAAATAAGAGTATTATCTAATGCTATTGCTGTCCTCAAGACCATCATATGGAGTTCACCTGGGAGCTGCTCTGTAATCTGAAGTTTCTTATGACTTCTCTGACTGTTGAAATTAGGCTAAAAGGCTCTCCAACTTTAGGAATAGGTGAACATAGGGTAAGAACTGGAAAACATCAGCAAAAGTCACCAAGTCCAAGTTCCTGCCATCACAGGTAAATCTGAATATAATCCAATTAATAACACTGTCAAGCTTCATCTCCAAATAAATCACATTATTTGCCTCCACTGGCCACACAAGAATATTATACCAAAACCTCGGTGCTATAACTGGGAGGTTTTTCTTATTTTCAACCTCAATTTTTCAAGGATATTCTTTCCAGCACAAAATATCTCTTCATCACAACCATCTTTGTTTCACTATACTAGAAAAGTTATGCTTTTGCCCTATTCTGGTGTCATAAACTGTTCATCATTTCTAACAGGGTCTTCCTCATAGCAGGAGAGTCAAATAAATTCTCTATGATGAATCAGTCTTTCTTGGATGGGGAAGATTAGGTGCGTGCCAAATTCTAGATTATTGAAAAAATTCCCTAATCTCTGCATCTGCATGCTGAGGATGAAGGCTAAAAGGCAGAAGGAGTAGATGTAATTCTGAAGGAAAATAAGGAAACACAGGAAGAAGCTTTTTGTATGTAATTTCCCAGAGAGATGCTTGCTGCCCAAGAACAGCAGCAAGAAATGGCCAAAGGTTCTCTAATGGGTGGCTGTCATTATTCCCACCTGGAGTACTGCATCCAGCTCTCAGGTCCTCAGCCCAAGAAAGACATAGACCTGTTGGAATGAGTCCAGAAGAGGGCCACCAAGATGGTTAGAGGGATGGAAGACCTCTTGTACAAGAAAAGGCTGAAAGAATTTGGTTTATTCAACCTGGAGAAGAGAAGGCTTTGGGGTGATCTAATTGTGGTCTTGCAATACCTGAAGCTATCAGCTACTGATCAAGGCTAATCAAGGCTTTGGCATTGCCACAGACAATGTAACACTGGAATAGGACCCAGAATGCAAGTAAGCCAACTGACCTAGCCTTCAAGGAGGGCTCTTTCTTGAGAAATCCATCCCTATGATCCAGTCTTGTCACCTCAGGCCCATAGGAAATGCTGGATAAGTAAATAAATAAGATGCTCAGTTTTTCTTCCCCTGAATGTAGAACTTCCCCAGAAACTTGGAGGCTGTGGAAGGAGAAAAGCCCAGACAAACTTGGCCATAAGACAAACATCTTGGTTCAGGAGTCACAGTTCTGACCTGGAGACACACAAAGGATATCCTGGATGGCAGAGGTAGAATTTAAGTGATAGCCATTAGAAAGAGGAATCACATATAGTAGAGGTGGTGCATGTTCTTATTCATGCGCATGCTCTGAGGGGAAAGGATTTTTACACCGTCTAGAAATTGATGAGAAGGTGTAAATGCAAACTCTGTGACAAGGCCTGTAATGGAACTACCCTCCAGTGCAATAGATTTTGCTCTAACTACCACCCTGTTCCTGGTCCTCAGGTCTTCAAGGACTGCCTTTTTCCTTCTTTAGCCTTTTGCCACCAAAAAGTTCATTAGCATATTCTTATTTTGATAATTAATGAAGGTGATTAATAGTACCATTGAATGATCCTGTGGTCATGACTGAATTCTGAGAAATTCCACTTGCAAAACAAACAAATCCAGAAAACCAAAAATACTAGCATGCAACTTCCAGTAGTTTAAACTGTTCCATTTTCATAGTACAGACTTTGGGCTTCTTAGCTTCATAGCAAACTAAAGTGGATTATAAAATCTGTAAATATGAACTAAAATAGAAAGAGGAAGACAAGAATGATTCAGCTGTGATAAAAAGAAATCTGCACAAAGAATGAGGGTAAAGTACAATGCAGCTGTTATATTTCAGCATCCCTTATTGAAGAAAATTAATATCAAGCTCTTTTAAAATTATCTTTTTTTCTCCTTTTATTTAGCTCTTATGTATAAAAATGCAGTAATTGCTCGAATAAATGCACTCTTGAAAGGGCTAAGACCTCAGCATTAACAGAACTTGCTTGCAGTATTGATTGCATGTATGTTTGCTGGTTAATTATTTAACTTTGAAGCTGCCTACTGTTTTACTGTTCCTGGTTGTTCTACCAATTTATACTTCTGGTAAGCATCAATTTCTACTCATCACAGAAGAAACTCTACATGATTAGAGTCAGAAACCATTCTATTTGGTTCTATTTTCTAAGTGCAACATATTCTCTGTACATGGAAAAAATTATATACCTTTTACATTGCCAGATGCACAGTCAGTAGTCAGTCTTCTGCAAACATGGAGGGGTTTGTTGTTTTCACATCAGCATTAACCATCTCAATCAAAATGCAAAATTCACGCTTATTGCCTTCTGGATGGTTGTAAACACTAAGTCCCTGGGCAGTATTGTCCAGGGACTTTGTGTTTACAAATGGAGAATGGCTTTCCCTCCTTTACTGATGTAACTTCAGAAACAAAATTAGCAAGATAAAAAAAATTGCCATGAGGTATTATAGCACATACTGAGCATTTTCAAAGTATTTGTGTCAAAGAATTTAACAGGATGTAAATTATTAATATCAAGGAAACAATGGCATAAGCATGTGGGCAGAGGAACAAAGATAAAAGTTGTGCCTTTCATTACAGACAGCATCAAGCAGATCGAAAGCATGCATGGCAGAAAACACACCTGAGTATTTCTAATTTATGACAGCAATAATCACAGGCAATGTATAAAAATAATAAGGCAAATTTCTTTCACTAATGTTTTTTGAAGTTACAGCCCTGTGAAAGACACACTGCCTGAACCATTAGTATTTTTTACAAATTAGTATGGTGTCAGTGTGTTGGAAGGATATATTTGCTGAGTAGCCAGGAAGTCTCCTGGAACAAGACATATAGTTGACAAACATTTAATTGATCAAATCTGCTATATGTACATACAGCCTATCTTATTGGAAATACCTGCAGAATCCATTAGCAACTCTTTGGATTACATTATCTTTCTCCCATACAACCAACAACCAAGGAGCATTTAACATAGTAAAGCACACCATTTTTCCCATAATCTATCTGGCAGTCATTGAGTAGGTAATAGTGTGTCTGAATGCTTTGAATAGTAAATACAAAACCAGAGAAAGTCAAAATATTCTGAGGTCCATAGACAACTGCTAAAGTGGAATGCTCACAAACTTATCTGTACTCACAGTTTAAATCTGCTTTTAATTTTAGCCTTTACTTGCATTATACAAATCCAGTCAAGTCGACAGTCACATTCTGTAAAACAGGTATTACCAAATAAACAGCCTTTTAATATGCTCAGCAAAATTCACCATTCCTGAAAAGCCTGATCTCTGGTTAAATGCAAATCTACATGTTGCCATGAGTTGTTTTTTGGTTTTGCTTTGCTTCATTCTAAATGAAACATGAATGGTTGTCTTCTATACTGCTCACAGAAATGGAGATCTACAGGAGAGCAAACACTCAGCAGGATTTTGATTAAGAAGCTTCTCAAATGCAGTGATCCCAGCAGCACTGCTCAGCCCATGCCAGAGCATGGGCACAGCATCTTGGGGGTGTCTCCTGCATGCAATTCAAGGGCAGGAATCCAGCTGCTTAATTGTGTATCCATTTAATTCATCTCCCTTTAGAGACAGCCCAGAGAAGCCATTGCTAAACTTATTGCTCACTGCCCTCATACCAGTTTTTAAGCAGGACTGCAGGGCAGACCTTCAATACTCAGAACTAATACCCTGATTCAAACAGAAGAAACAATAATAAGCAACAGAATTGGTAGACATCAGGATAAATATGGTACAATGAGAAAGAGCCAGCATGGTTTTTCTAAAGAGAAGTTGTGCTTCTCCTATCTACCAAAGTTCTCTGATATGTCAATAAAACATTGGCAGCACAAATATGTTTGATACCATCTGTCTGGATTTCCAGAAGGCACTTAAAAAGTTGCCTCTCTTGAGGCTCTTGAGGAAGCTAATCAGACATGAAGAAATGTTCAGAAGATGGGAAGAAATTAAGTAAAGTATTAGTTGACTCTTAAAGTAGAAAGAGATCACACATGGAGTCCCACATGGCTTTGTGCTGAAGTCTGAATTGCTCAACACAGATCACAAGGGATCAGAAAACAGTGTCAAAAAAGGATGAAAATATTTGCTGATGGCACTGAATTAGTCAGTGATACAGACTCTGGCTGATTGCAGACATCACATAAGACTTTCCTACCATGTAATGACTAGGCAACAAAAAATTCACTGTGGAGGAATGTAAAATGAGGACAAACATTGCTAAAAATCACTACAAAAGGAATCAAGAATATAAAATATTATTTTTCTGTTGTATAAATACATTACATATCCATATCTTCAGCAGTGTTTATAGTTATGTGTCCATCTGAAGACAGATATAGAAGTCCTGTAAAAGATACAGATAAGTGCAACAAGTATGATTAAAGATATGGAGTGATTACAAGATGAACAATAAAATAGATTAAAGGTTTTGTTTGCAAAAATAAATAATATACTAGAAAACAGTAAAATCAGGAGTGGCCTGAATAAGGTAAGTAGGAAATAACTGTTTCTTTCAGCTCAAAATCTAGAAGATATCAAATGAAGCCAGAAGGCAAACAAAAGGACCTGTGTCTTCACTCATCACATCATTAACCAACAGAACTTGTGCCAGGACATTGTGGATGTTGAAACTGTACCTGAATTCAAAATAAGATTTTGATAAATTCATGGAACAAAAAGAGATCTAGGACTATTCAATACAAACCCACATCAAATAGTTCAGGAAGTCACAGAATTACTGATCAGCAGACACTCAACATGTATTTTGGGAAGGGCTTCTAGAGGGCCCTTATAACCTTCTCAGAAAACTTACTTGGTCGTCACTGTTGGAAACAAGGTGCAGAGCTAGATGAAACTGCTCTTACCCATATTAGAATTGGAGTAGTGCACTGTCACTGTTGAGTCACTGTGCACAGAAGTAATCTGTGCTTCACCTGAAGAATGGAACTGGAATTTCTGGGCTGTGCCATCAAATTGTACATGTACAGCTGTGCTTCTTGGAGAAACATTAAGCCTGCTCTACACATGGAGCCACAATCTCCAATGTGTTATGAATGTCCAAGGTTTCTAATGTATGCCACACCTCTCCTCACAACTGCACATGCTCACTGCCGTTGCACAATTGTCAGATTTCCCAGAAAAAGGGTTGCTGCATACCTCCAAATCTTAGATAAATACACAGTTTCTCTATATTGTGCCAGACAATTTCTAAGTCAGAAGTAATTTGTGTTCATGAGAAAACAGAAGGATGGTAATCCTGCTTGGAATATCTTTTTATCTGGAGTGAATGTGGCTTCTTTGACTTGAACCACAGTTTTTATATCTTTTGCTGGTTTGTGTTTTCATTGTCTGCAAATGAGAGGCCTCTTTGTCTCTGCTTGGTGGTTGGACCTAAAGGTTTGCTAGACAGTTACATTTCTTTACCCTCACCACTTTTGTTGTCACAGTTCACAGTCCTATAATAAGAGGTGGTTGAGTTCATGAGAACACCCTCAAATTTCTTTTTGCCAAAGTGATCTTCCTGGTTCCATACTGCACATGTGACTGAGGCTCTCGGGTGCAGAGGTGTGGTTTTATAGTGAAGTAAACCAAGATAGGGTCTTAATCATGTTCATGTGCCTTAATGTTTGTTTTGCTGTTTCAACATAGTTTTCCAAGTCTATTGATCTCCAAATAATACAGGCTGCAAAGGCATCTACGAGACCCCCATACCTTTCAAATATCTGAAATTCTGGGATATTTCATGTGTTCTGTTATATGAAAAAACTTTATCATAAATGTTGCTGTCTAATGCTATCCTGTTGTTATTAATTGCCTTGCTGACGAACTATTTAGCTGAATTTCATTAATAAAACTGGTGCAATAGTTGCTGCAAGCAGGTCATGGTCACCTCTCTGTTTGAATAATTCCATTGGCAAATGTTTTCAGGCTCTGCCTCGGAAATTAGCACAAATTGTAAGTTTTTACACTTACTGTGTAAAAACTTATTAAGAAATTACACTTATTGTAAGTTTATCCTTAATAGTCTCTGTACAATAAAAGTATTTTTTTCTTCTGTTTCTGCCTTGTGTTGAATTCTAATTCTTTTTGCAATTATTCTTGCATGTTTTTTGGTCAGCACAATATCAGCATGAGTTCTGTGGGATTTTTCTCAAATTTCCACATTTTCTTCAAAAGAACTGTTTCCTTTTCTTGTAGGACTAGTTCACTTCCTGCAGATAATTCTCTGGTTTTATTTTAGATGTCTGTAAAAATTGATTAAGTTTTCTATCAGCTATCCAGAAGATTTTTTTTTCTTAAAACATTATATTACTGCCCTCTGTATCTGAGGGATAATTTGTAGATTATGCTATATATTGGCTGTGCCTGGTCCTACATCTCATACTCTGAAACAAAGCAAGACCTGTTTGACAAAAAGTAATGTAAGCCTCCAATTTTACATTCAATTACAAGCTATATTTTCCCATATTTTTTTCTCACAGAGAAAGGTTTTCTCTCAGAAATTTTGGCAGTAGGGGTACCAAACCTTCCTTAAGAATATTTTCCAGGAATTGTTTATACAATCTACCTGTCCAGAGCTCGTCCAGATAGTTTTCCTTGATGTCCTATCATTGTGTCTCACTTCAAAGCTCTTGTAGACACATTATGATTTTCATTTGTCTCACAAATAAATATGGAAAGTTTTCTTACTGTTACTAATGTCACTTTCGCCTGGGGGGTAGGGGTAAGGGGGCTGGTGCTTTTGGCTGCTTCTGAAAGAACACGGGTAAATTTTCTGACATCTAATAACAATGTGAAAAAACTCCTTCTCTGCTTGAGCATAAGTTTGCTTCCCCAGTTAAGTGTTCCTCATTTGCTCCACTCCTGCCACAAGGCTGCTCCAAGGGCTGCTGGTGAAGGAGCTCAGAAGCCTGTATCACACATGTCAATCAGACTTTCCAGCTCACACTCTGCTTTCAGTAGCCAGCTCAGCAGAATCAGTCAATCATCAAAAGCTGGAGACTTCATTGGTTTCAACTGCTTGGTTTTTCTAAAGGGAAATAAAAATGGATACAGATATTATTGATTCCTCTCACTCTATGTCCTAAAACCTGAAGCAATTAATCAATAATGAACAGCCTCCTTTATATTTTACAGTCACATTTTAAGCTGAAAAATAGCCTGAATGACAACCTGTTGATTGCAGACAGCCCCCAGTAGCAGCTGCAATCCAGCTTCTGTGGGAGATTCTTCTGCAGCCAACACCAGGACAGGGGACAGTGTGGGAGCAGGTATTTGTGGCTCTGTGTCCTGTACAGGGATTCTGCCACAGGAGATCAGCCCTTGTTGTCCCAACTCTGTGAGAAGGAATGGGGGTAGCCAGCATGAGCACTCATTTGGATCCACCACCAGAAAGGGGTACAGAGAATTACAATTGATAGTGCTGCTGGAGTTATGGCCCTCACTTTGAGTGTTGTTTATTTAGAGCATACTGAGAGCTGCTGAATTTGGAATCTCCTCTCTGTGGCACAGCCACAAGAAGTGTAGGCTTAGGACTTAAGCTTAAGAATATTAATGTTAGGGGATTCTGATATGCACTTCTATTCTCTCATTAGCAATAATTTGCAAAGGCAGGAACAAAATCAATCTCATAAATAACATAATCCAACTTGGCAGAAAATGCCTATAGAGGAATTAGCATTTTAAAATACTTCCAGCTTCTGCATGAAAAACTGTGAAACAGCTGTCTCAAAAATAAAGGGGTTTTAAATAGTTTTCTAGAGGTCAAGTAATTTTTTTAAACATTTATTACCTCATAATTTAGTTGGATGCAGATAATGCCCTATGAATATCAAATACTTCTCACTCCTTGTGTTGAATTTTTTGTGCACATTGCTCATCATAGACTTCTGTAATGCAAACTTCTTCCTTATGACCTAACAGTGACTCAATTGGTTTTCTCAGAAGAACTTACCTTTCAGCAATGTTTATTACAAAATATTTTCAACTATTATTTTGTTGATACCTTTTGATTTTATCATTCACAATGGATTATGGTTGGTTATTACTAAGTGTAGTTTTCTACACATTAAGCTTTAATTTCTACTAAAATTGAATAAAAAAAGTCTCATTACTCAAGCCTTAAAAAGCCAGATGTTTTTTAAAAATCTTTCTGCATTTTAAAACAGCTGTTTATGAGAGAGATGAACAGAACATTTTAAAGTTAATTTGCTATCAGGACAAAGAGTTCAACAAAACTGGAATTCTTCCAATAGTGCCAGTTGAAATAGGATAAAATCATTAGGGTTAGAAATTGACTGTAAAAAGTATAAGTCTGACTAATGAACCGGAGATATTAATGTGTATCCAGATGCTAGCAACATACATTAAAACCCTTCCCTGTTTCATTTTAAAAATTGACTGGTTTTACACCTCTTTTTTTTTTTTTTTTGTTTTAGTAATTTGTGTTCACAGAGGTCAAAGAGTGAATTTCAATGGACTTTTTGTGTGACTTTCCTAAATTTCAGAAAGTATTACAACATTTTTTGATCACAGCAGGTCAGGTCACAGTCCAGCTGGGTCCATACCCCCCTTTAACCTATCTCTAAAACAGTCAGTAGTGGATGCTGAGTGAATGAATGCAAGAGATGGGACAGATCCATAGTCAGGTCATCCACAGGCACTGGCACTTTGCAGCTAAGGACATCCTCAACTGGAATTTATACATTGACATGCTGTGCTACAGTTATAAACAGTATCTGAGAGTGTTGCAGCTCCTTGACGTGATACATTTCAAGTCCAAAACATTCTATGGTATCTAGTTCTGTAGCATAATTATATGATACCTGGAAAAGTACATCCCTTTGCTCATTTTAAATGTTGCCCAATGGGATTTCATTTGATTCCTCCTAAATCCTTATATCACCAGAAAATGATGGCTAACACCCATTGTATTCACAAGCTCAGAGTTCTCTCTCAAATCCCTCCTTAAATTTTCTTCTGCAAGCCAGGTAGACCAGAACTATTTTGAGTTTCTTCATACAGAAGCTATTACATCTGCTCAGTGTCTGAAATTTTCAGCTGTCATCTTTAAACTGGACTGTCCTGAAGAATTCATTACCATTCCCAAACTAATCTCTACATATCCAAGATTGTTTATGGCCACTTAATTGAGTAGTGTCCATCTCAGTAGAGATACTTGCAGAGACTCTTTATAACATCCTTTATTGTGAAGACAAGGACTCTGAAGAGAACTTTTTCTTTCATTAGATGATACCTCCATTTATTTCAAATACTTTGGTGAGGGACTTAAAAAAAATTTTAAAACTGTAAAACTTAAAAAAAAATCTGAAAACATCAGTATACTTACTGTAAACACTGGGTGACCCTTGCCCATTGACCTCTAGCATCTCCAGCAACTTTGTGAAATACCACACCAGATCTAGAGGTTTTGCTGATTTTTCTCCAGCATATTAATCTGAATGCAGTGTTTATTTTTTTTGTAGTCTTTTGTATAGTTTCCACCAATATATTCATATGTACTTTCTTCTCATATGCCCTTTCTATTTAAGAACAGCATCTGTAAGGAAAACATATTTTCATTTTTTGTACGCTATACACAACAAAACAAAGGAACTTTAATGAAAAATTAATACAACACATTTGCAGAGCTTCAAGGGCAAGTTTAACTGTAGAAAGAGGCTTGAAGGCCTTTGGAAGTAATTCAAAGCCCACTGAGTCCTTTTGCAGCTCCAAAGATTTCCAATACATTTAGATGACCTGGTCACTGTGTGTTTGATGCAAAGAAAAATTTGCAGCTAAGGCTGTGCTGTAGAAAAGGCTTCTGACAGGTTATAAAGTTCCCCATGAGGCTGATGCTGTTCTGTAGACTTCCAAGACATCCTACTGACTTCAGTGAGCACAGAATAAAGCTACACCATCCCACTGCTGCTTTGGGAAGCAAAGCCCATTTCAAGCAGAAGGAATTCTTCCATGGAGAAGAATCCTATGCCATGTTTTGGGAGAACAAAGTCTCAAAGTCTTTCCTCTGGAAAACTTTCATCTGAAGTAACAGCTTAAAGCAATTCTGCACTATATAGTAAGTGTCTAATTATAAAAAATGCTGCATCAAGGTAAGGAAAGAAAAAGCTGGTCTGGCATTTTATTGAACTTTTTTTCATTTGTAAAATATGTAAACGAGCAGCGACAAAAATGTCAGTACTGACATTTTATCTACCCTTCCTCCTTTTCTTATATATTTTACATTTTCCAAATAACTCCTTATCAGCTCATTTTTGAAAAAATGCACTTTATGCCTATTTTCCCAATGTTTTGATGCAAAGCTTCTGTGCATGTACCACAATTTGCACACTGAAAGCCAATTTACAATGCAAAATTTCATGTTAATTTTTTTATATGCAATTCAAATTTCCAGAACAATGGCACACACATTAAAAAATACAGCATTGTGAAAATATAATCTTAGGTAGGCAATAGATTGCTATTGCACCTACAAAAGAATATCATAAAACAGCAAAATATGTCTCACAAGTCATAGCAAAAAACATATTGGCACTCTAAGTAGTGGTTTGTTTGCATTACAATTAGTTCTGAGAAGGTTTACTGGGAAACCGAGTGCTTATATTTTCCATTAGAGTACTGAGTGCAAGATGTAGAGTTGCTTCCATTTTTGTGTGGCTTCTGTTTTTCTAAGCCACATAGAAATATCCATTGACTTAGAATTTTCTGTAAAAATCCAAAAGAATTTCAATGGAAGACTTAGGGCTGCATGAAACCAATAAATACACTGTGCTGTCTGCATGCCTTTAGGGAAGCAATCATTAGTTCATACCCAGGAATATGGTGGTGGATCTCACAGGAATTTTTGGAGCTACAGAAAGGCTAAAGGAAAGCAGAACTTCCAAGCCTGTACTTCACACTTGGCCCAGTCACTTCTCATTTAATGCCAGAGGATGATTTGTACAAGGATCAAGGGTAGAATTCTGGCCAGCATTTAACTAGCTGGATGAATAGGAAGTGCTATAAAGGCATTATTGTCATCTAAAAATGACCTAAAGAAAAGTAAAAATATTCACACTTTGGAGTGCTTTAGCATCAGTTCTGCAGCCCAAATGTCACATTGGAGATATTTCTGTAACCATGAGCTAAAAACAATCTCTTTTTGTTAATGATTCCTGAAATTTTGGACAGTTGGTAGCCCAGATTCTGAATTTTTAGGTAGGCCCCATAAATGTTTCTTTAAATGCCACAGATCCACTGTACAGTCTGTTTATATGATAATTCTGTTTCAAGGCATGAAGTAGGGACAGAAGAAAAGGGATCTGCTGAAATGTACTTGTTCCTTCTTGGAGTTAATTTTGATTTGCTGAATTGCTCTTGACCTTTTACTATCCCAGACTTTTTACTACCCCCATTTACCATATTTGCACTAAGATTCCTCTACACAGCAAAGAGTAAGAGCAGGATGACCACAGTCACTTTGTAGAACCACAGCCAATAACTTAAACTGTAATCAAATGTTGGGTACTGGGGTAAATGTTTGGGGTTTTTTTTTCATTTTTCAGCTAGGGAAACTAACATTTACAATTTATACAGCATTCCATGTTTCTGCAATACTGAAAACATTTTAAATGGATTAATCCTGTCTGTCACACGCATTGAGGTCAAATTTGCTTTTGTGGGCAGCAGTGTTACTCAGGATTAACTCAGCAGAATTCAGATTCTTCAGCATTACATGATAATATAATTTAGTTTTTAGTAATTACAAATATTTCAAAGAGGTTAAAACATTGAGTGAAATGTTGTCCTGATCTGGAAAGCTATTGCTGTGGTCTACAGGATTCCACAGTGTTAGGCAATGGCTGGATCTGCTCATTTTGAGGTTACGTTTGTGTAAGGGATGAAATTTATGCCTGAGACTAATTCACTGAACACAGGTTTTTGCCAACACCACAGGCCCTTGCCACATCTGCACTACAAGTGCAAAAATTCAGAGCAGGGCAAGAGGTTATTGAATCTCCACCTGGCTGCACCAGTGCAAGCAAATACAGGCCAAAGGGAGGGTTTCTCTTACTGCTAAGGAAGAGTGGTAGGCTGACACACAGAAAGGACAGTGAGCACACACCACTAACTAGGTGCAACACAGCAAATCCTCACCCTTCCAGTATTACTGCACTTTATCATATTGGATATATATTTAAATAAATGTTGGTTAAAAAAAATGAAACAGTCACTCCTTAAACAAAGAGTAGATCATCAATTCCTATTCATGGCCACAAGAAGAAAACCAAGAAAGACCTAGGTTATTTTATAGTTTGGGAGATTTAGCATCGATATTAGGAATATGCTTTCCAACCTAAAGGATTGCTAAATACCAAAATAGGTTAGCTTGAAGACCATGGACTAGAAAGGCTTTAGAAAACGGGAAGTTTTAAGATCACTTAAGCATACTTGCATTGAGGATGGCCTAGGATACAGCTGATCAGCTCAGTGTAAGGGATGAAGCACCAATCTCCTGAATTCCCACACACCTTCTCAGTACCATGATTCCACAGAGGTACAGCTGCCCTTAGCCTGGTACAATACAAACAATCCTGAAAGCAAATGACCAACCTGAAACAATTGTACAACTGAGTAAATTAAAGAGAAAGGAAATGCCCTCACAATTTTCTTACTACCCTTTATTTCAAAGTTATGTATTATATTGGGTCAGACAAGAAAACAAACACCATATTCTGATGCAATCCAGTCTTGTCTGTTTTGCCCACATCACTGTTTCTTTTTCCCTATCTTGATTACAGATCAGCGTAGTCCAGGCTTAAAATTGTAGTTGTCAGAACAAGAGGTCACTTGAGTCATTGCAATTTCCAGAAATGTGGCTTATACTCTCAGAATTTTCTCTTGCAAGGTTTTTTTGAAAATGAAACATATTCCATATCACCCTGTCTTTGCAAAACTTTAAAAGAGCTGACAAAGTGGGACAGAATGGCTGAAGGGTTTCTGCTTGGGTTTTTTGACTTCATAAACATTAGAACAATACATTCCTGGTTTGGCCACTTTTATGGCTGACTGCCTGTACTTCTGGTAAAGAAATAGTTTAAATGAACCAAACTGTAAACTGATGCCCTATTGCAGTCATGGTGACTGCATCACCCCATTAGAAAGGGCAAAACATTTTGATTTGCCTTGGAACAAAACTTTTCACTGCTCTAACTCCTTTGATCTGTGTAAACCCAGATTTTGCTTCCTTTAGCTTTTCAAACTGCAGCTTGAGTTTTCACATGTATTTTTTTATGGTAAAAATTACATTTGTCTATAAAAATACAAACCCTGATCTGAATGCAGTCTTGGTCACTTAATACTGTAAAATTAGAAACTGAAAGCTGAAATGACACATTCAAGAATATATAGTCATTCTAATTCATATTAGATGAAACAAAACAAAAAATCATGAGATAGAATTCACTCATTTTTCCCCTTAAATACCAATTTAATTCCCACAGTAAGATTACTAGCTAGTAAGTCTATCTAGTGTCTAGAAAGCTAATTTTCAAATGTGCACCGATACTTTGCCTATAAGTATAATGTGTAAAGATGCACATGGAATACAGATGTTAAAAATATTACATCAAATTCTAGCCCAAACCAAATTATGTGCCTATTTTGTACCAGTAAATCTCCACCACAGGTCAAAAGGCACAACCAGCACTCAACAGAATACAAGCTGAGCACTGAGAAAAAGCTTTCCTGTATCAACCACACTGAAGCAGGAATAAAAAATACTAGCATAAAAAAACAGTAGAAAGTAAGCTACATTTATTCTCTAAATAGCAGGGGGGAAAAGTCCATAGTATTTGTGGTTCTCAAATGCTTCAGAAGATTGCAGAGTATTTAGTGGAAATCTTTCAAAATTGCCAACTAAACTGATGGACATCTTGTTTGTACATGTTACATTACCAAAATTGGGCATTGCTATATTTAAATGAGATTTTGTGGAAACTTTTCAGGTCTTACCAGTTTAAGACTAAACCAAACAGTGGTTCATTGAAACTGAAACATTTTCCAGTCAGTCTGGCCTAAAGACAAGACTTAAGTGACTTTAATTCTGGAATTGTTTCAATTAAAAAAAAAAGAAAGTTTAAAGATGCTATGCTACTTATGCTAATTTGGTTTTGCTACACAGATTTTTTTCCCATCTTTTATATTTATTAGTTATATTTCCAAGATTTTAATATCTGCCTTAATTATTTTTTCATTATTTTGTATTCTAGATGGGTTGTGAGAAGTGTAGTCCAGATGGGAAAGGCTGCATTACAATGTTCAGAAAGTATGTTATAAAATGTAATTCTTAGTAGCATCAGCTATATCTTCATGGGATAACAGCAGCTGATATATGAATCTAGTGTCTGGGACAGTCTGACACCAATAAGCCAGTTAATTTACAACAAGATTCTCTTTTCTGTTTATAAATATACATACTATACATACATACATACATACATACATACATACATACATACATACATACATATATATATATATATATATAAACCAACCAACCAAAACAAAAAAAACTGACTGTGGTCCTTCTACCTACTTCTTACTGTTCAAAGATAGCCTATTTTAAGCAAAAATAATACATGCCTTACATGAACACAGTTGTCCTAAAATCTGCAGCTTTATCTTTCAGGTCTAGCAGTAATTCCTGTGTTTTCCTGCTTCTGCAACCTTTATACAGCCGTGTTGGACAATCCCAACAAACCTGCAAGAAAAAACCACAGGTTTCCCCACTTTATGAACACAATTCACCCTCACAGACTATTAGGCCTGATCTAGTTCACTTGCAGGCCCAGCTCGTGGCTGTAATCATTTGCTCTTTGGGTTAATTATTTTTACACATTCCTTGCTTTGTGCTACTTTGTATTTGTAGTTACAAAGCACCTTGGGGTGATGGGGTGTGGGGTAGACAGACCACTCTTGCTCATCTTCCTCCACACACTAAACAGTTGCACAAGTTTGGGTTCTTAGGTAACTCTCTAAAAGACCTGGATTTTTTTC